AGAGCAGACGGTTTTTCGGTTAATCTGAAGGTAGGATTGAAAACTCATTTACGAGATCATTCTTTGCATCTTAAAATTAAGTCTTTGATCTTCAGGTATGATGAACGCAAACCACCTTCTACGCGAACACCATGTTCGTAAGTTTTGGCAGTTTCCTTCTCCATTTTTCTTACGCTGAGAGGTGGACTAACCAATAGAGTTCTTAAAATTTCTGGGCAGAGTAGTTGTCTTTCTTATGGGATATCAGGTAAACAAAATATTTCGTATTCTATTGTAGACGTGGAGGATTTCAAATATATTCCACTAGAAGGTCATCTCTGTGCGCGTTCCTAAACCTGCGGTCATCCGCCTGCGAAATATAAGTATCAGCTGCTGTAACCACAGCTTAGGGCCTTAACAGTTGCGGTGATGGCTTGACACTGATTTCGACTCATTAATTGCCGTTTTCGGTGGTTGCTATTGTAGTTCACGACTTGCATAATGTTGGTTGCTTTCCTGAATACTTTAGCTGTTATGCTACTACCGTCTTTGTGGCAAAAGAGGACATTCCGGAAGGCCAGCTGATTGTTTTCTTCTTCGTATATCGTAAATTGAACCGCTTGTGCGCTAATGACATGATGGCCGAAGTGCGGATCATGAGTGGCTGAAATTGCATCACCCGTGCAGGCGTTGGATATCGGTCATCTGGCTTCCTGAGGCTGCCGTCACGAGTCACGCGTTGGTTATCAAGCATTTAGCGCCCAAGCAAGCAATCATCCTCTATGATGGAGGCGGGGCATTAATTTCCATAGGTATACAGTAACATAGCGACGACATCCTATAAATGGTGCAAATCGTGCGCGACGGAATCCGAAACGACTGACGAATAAAGTTCTTCTCCCAGGGATTGCATCTGCTTTTTTACTAATTTCCTCTTAAGACTCGCATTTTCACTTGTAGTAGATAGGTGTACTTATAGTCAGCAAATATTTATATCCATTCTGTAACCATCAGAGAATCATACTGCATATGTTCCTACACGGCGTTGCAGAGAGTGGTCTAAGATGATAAAATCAGATTGCGTCAGAAAATCGCTGCCTTGATACAGGTTTGAGTTACCGTCAGACTATTGCTCAGTTTCTTTCTCAGACTCTATATAGGATAGAAAATGTATTAATGACATCATTATTTGCGCAAGATACTGAAGTCTTCCATTTTCAGGTCCGCTAAAACCAAACCACCTCCCACTGGAACACCATGTTGGTAGGTTTTGACTGCATTCTTTCCATTTTCCAATGACACAGGTTTGTATACGCTACGAGGTATACTGATAAGCAGAGTTCTTACACATTTCTAGGAAGATTTATCCTCTTCATGTGGAATACTTATGAGTAAAATTGTTTTGTTTCCTTTTAGATATGAAGGATATGAAGTATATTCCACTAGAACGTCATTTTGGTACGTGTTGTTAAACCTACAGCTGCTAATTTCCAATAACGATAACTAGTGCAGGCACCTTCGTTAAACTTCTTAGAAATCATCGTATTAAAATCTAAAGTTGACAATCGGAGCGAAAAACTTAAAGATGCTTTTATAAATAACAACGCGATAGATATATATTCGCGTCAAAATAGTCACATTTTAATTAAAGCCCATTATTTATTACGTTACTTTTCAAAACCGGTACAACCACATTGGCGTCAGAGGTATGCTCTTAGAAGAAACAGAAGAAGATAAAAACGAGACGCGCAATGCAATTTTGCATTTTGTTTCTGAGTTTAATGCCTGCATATATTCAGATCAAAACTCGTAAGTATTTGGATATAAACCACTAATTATATAACGTTAAATTTAAAAACTGGTTTAACAGAGCTGCGGCAGACGTAGGACTGGTATGCATTGCTATGCGTTTTACCTTCGAGACACGCACAATTAAAGAGTATGCGAATGTGAATGAACGCACATCAGACATACCTCGATAATAATATCAGCTGGAATGCCAAAACCACGAGTAAAGCGATGAGCATATTATGGGATGATAAGAAGTCTTCTCAACTTAAGCATATTTTCAAATTATCTCATTATCTTTTTGTAGCACGACTATTGTCCGCAAAGAGGAGTAAGTTCAAAATCTATATGCAACTTATACAGTATCGTATTGTTTTAATGGAAGATCGTACTGCTTCACAATCGATAATGCATTTTAATTGCTATGTAGAGGTCCAAGTCACGTCCAAATGCGTTGTGTCATGTGCTGTCCGGTACAATGCTAGCAATGTTAAAATAATGCTCGCAAAACTGGGGCTCGATTTTGACGGACTTCACAGAAATAAACCTCAAACTTACTGCTAACGGAGGCAGGTTCATCATTATTTGACGTGAATAAATTGAATTTAGAACTATTACCCTTAGCCAACTTACATAGATGCAACAGGTTGAAGTGTTACATTGATCATTTAATGAATCTGAACTCCCGATTATGTATTTAAATGTACTAATATATCACCGTTTTATGAGTATACTGAATTTTCTATTGCAGATACTAAGGATCTGAAATACGCTCCTTTGCAACGTTTCGTTGGTAAGTACTTTACCATGCCCCACAGATAATTATTCCGTTAATTTTGTCTGGCGTATTAACATTGAATGTTTATCTAACTTACATACTTTCCATAGAAATAGGGCACGCGTTTTTGCCTGAAGTTTGTTCTGCCAAAATCAATATTTAAAGACTGTGCAACCAATAGATATTGCAATTTGCCGAATCTCTTGTGTGGATTTATAGTTAAAGCAATTTTTGGTCTTGCAGAGCTTTCTCCTCCCGAAGAAACGAAGAGATCTGATGGTGGTAAGTACTAAAAAATATTATCTACGGCCGAAAAAACCGTTTATTTCTGTAAAGGAAGACGAATACTTTCGGATATATATTATTTTATATTTAATATTTTGTGTATTTTGAAGACAACTGTCCACATGACGCGTTAAAACAAAAGTTTTTGGGTTCTTGCGCGCTAAGTAGCAAAGGAAATTCGTTCGATATCAAGCATTCTCCGAGTACGCGACAATTCTGCCTGGTACCCTAGAATATACTGAAATAAACAGACAGTATTCCTTGCTCAACTGATTTCTAAGGATGAAATCTACTCGTTAGGTCAAAATAATGTAACCAACCTTATGCTGAACTACCAAGTCCAATCTCGATCCTGACTTTGCATGGATTGCTTCACCTACTACATATGCAACAATCAGCAGGTTTAATAATTTTTCAGAGTTGCCTTGTTAAAAATGCAACGCCTACTTCTTTTCTCAGATCAGTCGATAGAAATTCCGCTGTCAGATTTTATTCTTGAAGGAAAAATAAAATAGCCTACACACAGCATGGTTTTCCTTGTAAAGAAAAGTATGGAGGCATTTCTGAAATTTTTGACGTAAAATTGTAGGAGGAAGAGGGATCTGCAATCTACTACCCGACAGTGGAATGTGCATGGCCATGATGCCAAGGTTCTACTTTGAGGCTAGTGATGGAACCTGCAAATCCTTTATCTACGGCGGATGTCGCGGGAACGAAAATAACTTCGCAACTGAACGGGAATGCCTGGAGACATGTGCTTAGAAGAATACCCATGTCTATTTATCTGTTGTTTTCCGGTGTTTTTGGTGGTTTTCACAATGGTTGATGGGTTCAGAAAGGTGCAATACATATATGTGTTTATCAGGCGCTTTGTTCTTCTGATGAGGGGGAAATACGATCCAAGCAACGTTTTGCTCATTCAAGCACATTATGGGAAAATTTACGCAAAGAAAAATCACATTTCACGTACTTGAATGTCGCAAAGGCATAAACAAATCAATATAATAAGAAACGAATACTGTAGACATCAAAGTCAGCTGGCATCGTTTGGCCAGTACAAAATCAGCGAAAATTGAAAATTAAACTGTGAAAATTAAAAGGTGTAGGGCGGGTGTTGAGCGTGTCTAGGCGTTCACAAAAATGGTTGCAGAACACTGTGCTGCCAAGCTAAACTGACGCACGGAAATTTCCCTCCTTAGTGCAATCTTGGCTCACCAGTTAAGCGGTTGCCGCTGAGATGTCAACCAAGCATTTCGTGTCATTTACAAAACATTGACAATACAGTCCAGTTTCTAAGTCAGCTAATACTTGCGACGACAGTGGTAGTGGTCATAAGACTAGACAACCAACTACCGTGTTAGCAGAAGGCGTTCGTGCATATCCTTCAAATATCCCAGCCCAAAATGGTCTCCAAAACTTCTTATTGGTGGTCTACATCGTGACGATATAACACCGCCTAGGTGCTCCGCCAATTAAACTATACCTTCTCAAAACCTGTTGATGGAATCGAAAACAAGAAAACTGAGAAAAATGCGATCGCGGGAACAGGGGTTTTTGGATTCTCAAATGCATTCACCATCAGAGAGACAGTAGCAAGAATACTGATAATGACGACTCAGGTGCTAACTGACAAGCCATCATGGCCTCACATCTAAAGCAATTAAAGCCAATGCTGCCAAGTACTGCAATCGCACGTACGTATCCAGCAGCTAAGTTAATACTAGTATTTTCATGCAGTCTACTTCTTCGCCTTCAAGGCAAGGATGGACTCCCGTTCCAGACCACTTCAATGTGTATCTACAACTTTACATGTTTCTTTAGGGCAGGTTATATTTGTTGAACGACTAGGCGGCTATCCAAGCGCATGCAAGAACTCCTTCCTGCTTGGCTAAACAGAGGCGAGATAAAGTTAATATCAAACGCGATTTTGGCCCACTTAGCGGACAGTGGTCATCGGATAGACGGAAACGAAGCGTTTAGTGTCATTTATAAAGTACCGGCGAACGTTCCAAGTTCCTGCGTCGGCGAATACTTACGACGGCAGAGGCAGTAGGCATAGGCCTAACTAGCCCGACCTTATGTGCACAGAAGGCGTTTGTAGCGGTCCAAAGGCTCCCATGGCCGAAGACCAACTCAAAATCCACAAACACTCTTCCCAGTACGTCGCAAAACAGTGACAAGGCTGCGATAGCAAGCATTCCCAGGCCACCCACATCATCAAGATACGATGACACCTTTTGTCCTCACTCCTCCCAACAGTAAGCGACATAAGGACGACGGGACGACATGAACTAACTGTCGGATCCCTTCCTCTTCCCTCCCCCCCACACTTTCCCCTCTCTATTCCCCAATTAAGACTAGAATCTGACCCCTTTGATCTCTTCACATCTTTCCCACCTTTTACCTCTTATTATAACTCTCGTTAACTTTACCCTCCCTTATATTATTGTATTTGCCTGATGACGAATTACTTGGAAACGTTCCTTCGCCTTACTTGACTTCCTGAATGCTCACATGTTTATCATCACTGAAGTATTTAAGCCTTGCAGCTGCATGCCGTGTTTTCTTAATAACGTTTGTCTCTGCTGGTGGGCCTCACTTTCAGCTTCAGTTTATTTTGTGAGGGTAAGGGGCAGTACCTAGGAAAACCCTATTGTTTACATGTCGGTGCGTCATATACATTTGTATACGCACGCCTAAACATAGTTAAGTTTTAAATAGTAATCACAAACTGTGGGTAGCGTTATTGTTACAAATAACACTTGTCTGAAGTTTGTGGGGTATTAGTTTGAGTTCAGACTGTCAAGGGACAACAGGGTAAACCTATAAGTATCCAAGCGTTTCTTGCAGGGCTGTAGGGACGGTGCCTCCATGACTGATTGCGGGAAGTTAATTCATTGTTCTACGACCCATTACGTAAATAATTCAGACAGAAAGTGAGACTCCAAAACCTCAGACCCGGTAAAATCTTGTTCCGGAGATTACATCTTCGTTTCCTGAATACCTTGATATCCCCAACCATGCCCCTCTCTCAGGACTATTCCTTCTTAATCCTTTTAAACTTTCACTTCTTGCCACGGCAATGATTAATCGAAATGTACTTCTGTTGAAATTGGCTCCTTCATTACTTACAGGGACATCATTGGAGAGGTTTAAATAAAAAATGCTCTGTAATTTTGACTGAAAAGAAAACCCTAAACCCGAAGCAGTAGAACAGATATGACAATAGACGTAACTAGGTGAGTTCCAGAAAGCAGTTCAGAAGAAGACGCGACCACTGGAGCAAGAGCTTTATTTTCCTGACGTTTCGGATTCCATCTGGAATCCTTAATCATAGGTAGTGGTAGCATAGTCTGAGTCATGTGCAGATAAGGATGAAACATGCACAGGTTGCACGGTATTTATAGTTCATAGCGGTAATCCACGTATGTACTATAATTATCTTCTCCTGTATCCACCGCTTAGGTCTTAATTGGTGCGGTGATGGCTTGAAATTTCGTGTTAGACTCATTAATTGCCGTGATTTCCTTGTCCGTGTTGGACGTGGGCTTGATAACTGCGCAATAATTAGGCACGTTGTTGTCAAAGTCGTTCTTGCTGGGCCCGGCCCCTCCCACGCGACTGATTCCCTTGCTTAGGCAATGTCTCAGTACGCAGTATGGGAACGCCAAATCGTTCCACTTGTTGATGGAATGGGGACCTGAGAACGATGACTTGAGCAGCTCGCAGCTCACGCGGTTATCACCTCTTGCGGTTGACGAGGCCGAAATCTTCTGCCTCGCATCACTTGTGCTGGACTTTGGCGTGGTGACTGCTTAGCCGTCTGGCTCCCTGGTCCTGGCGTTAGGAGATTTTTTCGAATGGGCGTTGATAGGTTGGCTAATTGCCTTGTCAAAACTGAGCCTCAGCACCGAATACGGGTTGGACATGTCTTTGCACATATCCCAACGATAGCGTCTCATTCTTTTCAATTATTTTTCGGAACTCACTTCAAATTGACTGCTTCTTTTACACGTCTTCATGCAATTACCTCTACCTATATAAACTCCCTAAAATGACATTTCCAACACAAATTGGTGCCTTACAGAAGATATTTTCCAGCGATAATCTGGAATGCCGTTACCATAATGCGTACTGAGACATTGTCTGAGCACGATAAACAGTCATGTAGGAATGGCCGGTGCCAGCAGCAACTCTGACGACAGCGAGCATCATTATCGTGCAATTATCCAGACTGCATCCGACACGGACAATGAAATTGTGGCAATAAATGAGTCGAAAGTGAAGTGTCAAGCCATCACCGCACTAATTAAGACCCATGCGGGGGCTACAGAAGTGGGTAATTATAGTACGCACATGAATGACCGCTAAGAACTATAAATACCATGCAATATGTGCATATATCACCCTAAGCTGCGCATGTCTTACACTATTCTAGAGTTATCTATGATTAAGGATTCTCGACAGAATCCGAACCATCAGGAAAATAAGATTCTTGCTCAAGTGCTTGCACCTTCTTTTGAATGGGTTTCTGTAACTCGCTTATTCGCTATTATCGGCAATCTGGAAATTCTTTATTATTTCGATTTTTCAGAACTTAACATCTACGTATAACGACCTAGAAGTAAATGAATTCGTTAAAACCGTATGGTTACCATTACAGGGACGCGTAGGATTCCAGAAACTATATATTTATTCGGCAAACATGTATTTTCAGCAATTCATTACCACGCCAGTACAGTTGCAGGTAGAAGGAAAATCTTACAGTGGGACAGAGTTACTAAGTGTCCTTTGATTGCAGCTCATCGTTTTCACGCCGCCCACATAGCAAGATCGGCGTGTAGACGTCCTTGGGGGGGGATGGGGAAATCAGAACAGGCTTCTTGAAAATAGATCCAAACAATGGGTTCATCCTCATGAATATCGGCACTTAAAGTTTGATACCTTAACCCCAGAAAAAAATTCGTGTTCAGAAGATTGCATTTCTTAGGCGATGCTGTAAGCGAGCTGATAAGACGACTTCTGAAGAGAGCGATTACAAGTGCTTTCGCCGCGGCGAACTTAGGCGTGTTAT